CGGTAGTTACTGCTGGAGCTGTCTCCGGAGCTGGAGAGCTGGCCGTGGCCAGTACGGCTGTTCCTCCTTGTGTCACCCTGTGCCTGGGACAGAGTGAGGCCCACTAGGGAACAGGGGCCTCACAGAATTAACAGCTCCCACTTCAGCCCTGCACCTGGCAGGGGGCGGGGCAGCTCCCCTAGGTTCACACCCCTGAGATCAGCTCAGCAGGCCCCTTCCTCCAAAGGACCAGCTGGAAGGACAGGGGAAGAGCAAGTTTGTAACCAAGCAGCACTGCAAAGCTCCAGGGGAAGTCGAGGGATTTACAGTATATAGGACCAGAGGGTACCCTCCTTTTTTTTTCTACCTTTTTCCAGTACAACTCGTTTTTAACCACTCTGCAGTGAGCAAAATGACAAGAAAAACTCACAACAAAAGAGAATGAGAAACAGTACTCTCTGCCACAGAGTTACAGAATTTGGATTCCAATTCCATGTCAGAAAGCCAATTCAGAACCACAATTATAAAGCTACTGCTGACTCTGTAAAAAGGCATAAAGGATCAAAGAGACTTCATGACTGCAGAATTTAGATCTAATCAGGCTGAAATTAAAAATCAGTTAAATGAGATGCAATCCACGCTGGAGGTCCTAAGACGAGGATTAATGAGGTAGAAGAAAGAGTGACTGACACAAGATGATGGCCAGGAAGGAAGCTGAGGAAAAGAGAGAAACACAATTAAAAGACCATGAGGAAAGGTTAAGGGAAATAAATGACAGCCTCAGAAAGAAAAATCTATGTTTAATTGGGGTTCCAGAGGGTGCCAAAAGAGGCAGAGGACCAGAAAGCATATTTGAACAAGTCATAGCTGAGAACTTCCCTAATTTGAGGAGGGAAACAGGTATTCAGATCCAGGAGAAAGAAAGTACCCCCCTAAAATCAATAAAAACTGTTCAACACCTCGACTTTTAATAGTGAAACTTGCAAATTCCAAGGATAAAAAGAAAATCCTTAAAGCAGCAAGAGACAGGATATCCCTAACTTATATTGGGTGAACTATTAGATTAACAGCAGACATCTCCACAGAGACCTGGCAGGCCAGAAAAGGCTGGCAGGATATATTCAGGGTCTTAAATGAGAAGAACATGCAGCCAAGAATTCTTTATCCAGCAAGGCTCTCATTCAGAATAGAAGGAGAGATAAGAGCTTCCAAGATAGGCAGAAACTGACAGAATCTGTGACCACCAAACCAGCTCTGCAAGAAATATTTAGTGGCTGTAAAAGAAAGATGACACCCAAAGAAAAAATTCACAAAAACAGGGACTGAATAGGTATTATAATGACACTAAATTCATATCTTTCAATAGTAACTCTGAAAGTGAATGGGTTGATGATCCCATCAAAAGACGCAGGGTCTCAGACTGGATAAAAAAGCAAGACCCATCTATTTGCTGTCTACAAGAGACTCATTTTAGACCTAAGGACACCTACAGCCTGAAAATGAAAGGTTGGAGAACGATTTACCATTCAAATGGTCCTAAAAAGGAAGCAGGGGTAGCCATCCTTATATCAGATAAATTAAAGTTTATCCCAAAGACTGTAGTAAGAGATGATGAGGGACAGTATATCATACTACAAGGATTTATCCAAGAAGAGGACCTAATAATCTTGAATATTTATGCCCCTAATATGGGAGCTGTCAAGTATATCAATCAATTAATAACCAAAGACATATGTAGATAGTAATACACTAATACTGGGAAACTTCAACACGGCACTTTCTGCAAATGACAGATATTCTAAGCACAGTATCTCCAATAAACAAGAACTTTAAATGATACACTGGACCAGATGGATTTCACAATATTTACAGAACTTTACATCCAAACACAACTGAATATACATTCTTCTCAAGTGCACATGCAACTTTCTCCAGAATAGACCACATACTGGGTCTCAAATAAGGTCTTAAACAATACCAAAAGATTGGGATTGTCTCCTGCATATTTTCAGAGCTCAATGCTTTGAAACTAGAACTCAGTCACAAGAAGTAATTTGGAAGAAACTCAAACATGTGGAGGTTAAAGAGCATCCTGCTAAAGATGAAAGGGTCAAACAGGAAATTAGAGAAAAATTAAAAAGATTCATGGAAGCTAATGAAAATGAAGGTACAACCATTCAAAATCTTTGGGATACAGAAAAGCAGTATTAAGAGGGAAATACATCGCAATACAAGCATTCCTCAAAAAATTGGAAAAAACTCAAATACATATGCTAACCTTGCACCTAAAGGAACTAGAGAAAGAACAGCAATTCGGCAGTGTGGTAGGATACAAAATCAATGCCCAGAAATCAGTCACATTTCTATACACTAACAACGAGACTGAAGAAAGAGAAGTTAAGGAGTCAATCCCATTTACAATGGAACCCAAAAGCATAAGACACCTAGGAATAAACCTAAGCAAAAAGGTAAAGGATCTATACCCTATAAACTACAGAACACTTTTGAAAGAAATTGAGGAGAATACAAAGAGTTGGAAAAATTTTCCATGCTCATGGATTGGAAGTATAAACATTGTGAAAATGTCTATGCTACCCAGGGCAATTTACACGTTCAATGCAATCCCTATCAAAATACCATGGATTTTCTTCAGAGAGTTGGAGCAAATCATCTTAAGATTTGTGTGGAATCAGAAAAGACCCCGAATAGCCAGGGGAATATTAAAAAAGAAAACCAGATCTGGGGGCATCACAAGGCCGGATTTCAAGTTGTACTACAAAGCTGTGATCATCAAGACAGTATGTTACTGGCACAATACCAGACACATAGATCAATGGAACAGAATAATGAACCCAGAAATGGGCCCTCAACTCTATGGTCAACTAATATTCGACAAAGAAGGAAAGACTACCCACTGGAAGAAGAACAGTCTCTTCAATAAATGGTGCTGGGGAAATTGGACAGCCACATGCAGAAAAATTAAACTAGACCATTCTCTTATACCATACACAAAGATAAACTCAAAATGGATGAAAGATCTTAATGTGAGACAAGAATCTATCAAAATCCTAGGGGAGAACACAGGCAACATCCTTTTTGAACTTGACCACAGCAACTTCTTGCAAGATACATGTATGAAGGCAACAGAAACAAAAGCAAAAATGAATTATTGGGACTTTATCAAGATAAAAAGCTCCTGCACAGCAAAAGAAACAGTCAACAAAACTAAAAGACAACCTACAGAATGGGAGAAGATATTTGAAGGTGACATATCAGATAAAGGGCTAGTATCCAAGATTTATAAAGAACTTAAGAAACTCAACAGCAAAGAAACAAACAATTCAATCATGAATTGACAAAAGACATGGACAGAAATTTCACAGAAGAAGACACAGACATGGCCAAGAAGCACATGAGAAAATGTTCCTTATCACTGGCTTCAGGGAAATACAAATCAAATCCACCATGAGATACCATCTCATACCAGTGAGAATGGGGAAAATTAACAAGACAGGAAACAACAAATGTTGGAGAGGATGTGGAGAAAGGGGAACCCTCTTGCACTGTTGGTGGGAATATGAACTGGTACAGGACACTCTGGAAAAGTGTGTGGATGTTCCTCAAAGAGTTATTAATACAACTGCCCTAGGACCCAGAAATTGCACTGCTGGGGATTTACTTCAAAAATACAGATGCAGTGAAACGGCAGGACACCTGCACCACAATGTTTATAGCAGCAATGTCCACGATAGCCAAACTGTGGAAGGAGCCTCGGTGTCCATTGATAGATGAGTGGATAAAGAACATTTAGTATGTATATATATATATACGCAATGGAATATTACTCAGCCATTAGAAACGACAAATACCCACCATTTGCTTCGACGTGGATGGAACTGGAGGGTATTATGGTGAGTGAAATAAGTCAATTGGAGAGGGACAAACATTATATGGTCTCATTAATTTGGGCAATATAAAAAATAGTGAAAGGGAATAAAGGGGAAAGGGGAGAAAATGAGTGGGAAATATGAGTGAGGGTGACAGAACATGAGAGACACCTAACGGTGAGATACGAACAAGGGGTTGGAAAGGGAAGTGGTCGGGGGGGGACAGATTGACTAGGTGTCGTGTACTGAGAGTGGCGCTTGATGGGATGAGCACTAGTGTTATGGTATATATTGGCAAATGAAACTCCAATAAAAAATATGCAAAAAGAAATAAAAATTAAAAAAATTTTAAAAAAAGAAACATACCTCAATGAATTAGTTTGCTAACTGACCTTCCTGTTGGGGATAATTGCTAGAGTTCATTCTTTAAAATACATGTAACTTTGCTTGTTTGATATCAACTATTATTCATAATTTTCTATTACTATCATAATTGGAATCTGTGCTCTTCTACTCTTTCACTGAGTGCAGAGAAGTATTTCCACAACACTTATACAGTGAAGCTTTTGCTTCCCTCTAGCATCACAACTCACACCCTGATTATCCATCTCTAACTAATGCTAATATCTACTGTTATCCCCAAGAGTTCTATTTGGAAACTGGAGCCTACATTATGAAATAAAATTTAATATTCCATGTCTTTTACGTAGTCTAATTTAGAATTGATTTCTCGTATAGACTATAACAAAAACTTACTCACAAATAATAGCATGTTAATGTATTAATTGAAAGATTACTTTAGATATTAATTTTTAAGCTAGGTCAAATTATAATAGTATGCTGTATAAAAATCAACAACATTTAAGTACCAATTTTTTCATTTTCTTATAAAATTTGTGAAGAAAAATTCAGATATATATCTAAGGTTGAAGATAATTCATTTAAGTACCCATTATATATTAAACCAGCCAACCATTTTTATCTATGTCACAAGTATAAAATACCTTTCAATTCCCGTTAAAGGACTATAACATGAAATCAATATGATCAATAGGTACATAAAATGCTAACAGAATAAATTATTTAAAAAACACAAACAACAGGTCTTGCAATCCTTTAAAATGTATTACTCACCAGAAATAAAGTTCGGAAGTTGCTGAGATCACCAAAGAACTCTTCTATGCTCACTGTCTTAGAGTCAAAAATAAAGTATTCTCCAAGATTCTCATAGAGCTTTAGCATGTTGTTGTGCATGGTGAGCAGTTTTTCATACTGGTCTCTGGCACTCTTTGTAAAGCTGTAGCTTTCTGTCAAGGAACATGACCTGATAGTATCTTAAAGGCAATCACTAGATGTTAAGATTGAATTATATCATTTTTATAAACACTTATGTATTAATTTGTTAGGGTTGCCATTACAAATACCACAGACTGAGTAGCTTAAACAATAGAAATGTATTTTCTCACAATTCTGGGGTTAGAAGTCCAATATCAAGGTGTTGGCAAGTTTGGTTTCTTTTGTGGCCTCTCTCCTTAGCTTATGGATGGCCACCTTCTCAGTATATCCTCACATAGCAGTACTTCTACCTGTGTTTGTGTCTTCATCTTTTCTTATGAGCACAGTAGTCATATTGGAGTAGGGCAGAAACTAGGACCTTATTTTAATATAATTGCCTCTTTAAAACCCTATCTCCAAATATAGTCAGTCACATTCTGAGATTCTGGGGGGCTAGGGCTTCACATAAGAATTTGGAGGGGGACACAATTCAGTTTATAATTATATGCTAGAATCATTATATTGGTTAATGAGGTTAAAAATTTGTAAATTATGCAGAACTATCTAATGTATAACAATGCAAAACATGTTTGTTAAATGAAAGTATAAAAGTACAAATACCAGAAAACTTAGTTATCTTTTAATGAACAAGGTAGGTCAGAAACAAACAACAAAAAACTTAGAAAAAAATATTCTCTTTCTAAATACACGTATTCTATTCAGAGAGAGGTAACCATGAATTCTATATATAGGCTGTATATATATGGTTTGTGTGTGTGTGTGTGTGTGTGTGTGTGTGTGTATCCCACAAGAACAGGGGAAGGAGAGGGGGGAAAAGGAGAAGGACAGAAGGCAAGAGGAAGGTATGAAGAAAAAGGGAGAAGAGGGAGACAGAGAAAGTGAGAGGAAAGAGAATGGGGAGAAATTCTGTTATTGTTCTAGAACCTTAATTACCCAAAGGGCTTGCTAAAACCCAGATTGCTGTTTGCTGGGATTGAGCCCAGGAGCCTGAGAATTATGATATCTAACAAGTTCCTAGGTGATGCTGAGGATGCCAGTCCTGGATATACCTTGAGAAGTAAGCTCTAGGCAAGTTGTTTATCCAGAAATTAATTACATCATTGTTTTTAAAATTTTATCAAAAAAGTGATAATAACCAGTACCAAAATAGAAATGAATCAAATATATTTATGTGTCTAAAGACATCATTATATATAAATTTATCATTAAAGAAAGAAATTGCAGTACTTTCTTCTGATTATAGAGGATATAAAAAATTATCTCTTTATGGGTGCCTGGATGTTTTGGTTGATTAAGTTTCTGAATCTTGATTTTTGGCTCACGTCATGCTGGGCCTGGAGCCTGCTTAAGATTCTCTCTCTCCCTTTCCCTCTGTTTCCCTTGCCCACTCACACATGTGTGCACACACACACACACTCTCTCTCTCTCTCTTTTTTTTTTAAGATGATAGATAGATAGATTTATTTATTTATTTATTTATTTATTTATTTATTTATTTAAGAGAGAGCACATACATACATGAGAGGTGCAGAGGAAGAGGGAGTGAGAATGCCCAGCAGAATCTACACTGAGTGCAAGGCTCACCTCAGGCTCAATTTCAGAACCCTGAGGTCACGACCTGAGCCAAAACCCAGAGTTGGGTGCTTTACCAACCCTGCCACTCTCTCTTTCTTTCTCCTTAAAAAAAAAAAAAAAAAAAAAAAAAAAAAAAAAAAAAAATTTCTTTGGGCAAGTTAGAAAACAAAAACAAATAAACTACAACTTCCAATAAACTCAGAAGCAAATATTGTGAACAATTTGGAGCATTTTCTTCTAGTCTTTCTTCTATGGCTCAGGCTGTGATCCTGGAGTCCTGGGATCTAGTCCCACATGGGGATCTCTGCATGGAGCCTGCTTCTCCCTCTGCCTATGTCTCTACCTCTCTCTGTGTGTGTCTCTCATGAATAAATAAATAAAATCTTAAAAAAATAAAAATTAGAGGTACATTTAAAAAATATAATGATCACAGAAGTAAAATGTTTTTACATGAAAGGTAAAATGCTTAGAATTGAAAAAGAAGGATAATAACACAGTTTGGGGCATGCTATTATAAGGTCCACTATAGTGTATTAATATTTTATGGTAGTGTTATTTTATCAGGTACTAAGAAATGGTACTATTATTTTACTATTATTTCATCAGCACTAAAAATGTGATTTTATTATTTTAAGATTAATCTTAAAATTTACAAATATAAATATGTGATTTATAAAAATATAAATCTTATATATTTAAGATTTTCTGAATTCTGCAGTATGTTTTATTATTAACTTGGGGCCAAATTCATTTTCAAGGGGAACACAGCTCTCGTTTTACAATGGAAGTCAATGGAGAACATTGGACCATTTCTTTTTTTTTTTTTTTCTCAGACCTTTTCTGGAAAATTACTTTGCAGCTGAAAATTATTGGATACAAGGTGATTTTTAAAAGTGACACAGGACCCTACCTATGTTCTTTCTTATGTTACTTAAATATTAGCGTTCACATTAGCAACACAAAAACCTTCCCTTGCTTTAACAATTAACACTAAATCTTTCAATCCCCAAGTCCATTTTGACCTTAATAGACTGAAAGAAGTAATGCATTTCTGACTTACTCTTTCTTTTTTAGCAAAAATAGATCTCATATACTGCTACATATACATTTGAGACTATTACCATATATTCTTTGACTTTTAAGAAATTGTTAAACATCTTGTTTAACAGTTGCAGAAATATGAATACTCTTCATTTCCTAGCACAGAATGAAAGTGAGATTTTGGTTTGCTAGTCTCTCTTACCTAAACTAACAGACTCATGCCATAGCGTCTGTTGCTAGGCATAAAAGTTATCAAAGGTCACTTACTTGTACTCTATTTGCAATGCAAAGTACTAAACTGTATATTTCACAAGGCTCAACATCTGTACCACACAGAGAAAAGCAAAAGGTAAAAAAGGGAAAAAAGACTGTATGTTCCCCATCTATCATAACATTTTTTTTACCAGCTACAAATGTCTATGTAATGATACATGACTTCATAAATTTGTTCTCCTAGAAAAAAAAAAAGATTTCAGAAATTCTGTATACCAAAGTGAGAAAATTTGAAAAATTCTGGGCATGGCTTATCTTAGAAATAACAAATGGAAAGCAGACCAATCGCCAAGTCCTTTACTTATTGTCTTCAAAGTGATTATCTTGTAAAAGGGATAGATGGCATGAGTCAGCATTGGAAATCTTTCACAATTGCAAGGAAGTCACCAAATCCTAACTGGAACTGCAGGTAAAATAGAGCTAGTAGACACTATCATTCCTTTTCATCCTTTTATTGCATTTAGGAAATTTTTACTTTAGTTTTTTGAGCAGCCATTAAACTCACTAGTTAGTATTATGCTAAGCATTGTGATGGATGTAATGATCATTAAAGCCAATCCAGCCCCTTAAATAGTTTATAATCTAGTATTAGAAATAATTCTAACATTAATTTGCATTTGTATGGAATTTTACCATTTACGATATACTTTCCCTTCTATTATGTTCCATATTCTTCATAACAATCTTATCAAAAAGGCAGAGAAATACTAGTATTCAAATTTCAGAGTTGTAGAAAGAGATAGAAGGCACCCATCCATCTAGGATTAGCATTTAGTGAAGGGAAGCAGAATATGCCACCCTAAAATATGCCTCCTTGGCTTATTTATTTATTTATTTATTTATTTATTCATATTTTAATTTTAACCTCAGTTAACATAAAGTGCAATATTAATTTCAGGAGTAGAATTCAGTGATTCATTACTTACATACAACACCTAGTGCTCATCACAAGTGCTCTCCTTAATACCTATCACCCATAGAACTCATCCCCCTGCCCACCTCCCCTCCAGCAACCCTCAGTTTGTTTGCTAGAGTTATGTCTGTTTTATGGTTTGTTTCTCTCTCTTTTGCCCCATGTTCATCTGTTTGTTTCTTAAATTCCACATATGAATGCAATCATATGGTATTTGTCTTTCTCTGGGAGAAGATATTTGGAAATGCAAATTTGCATATCTGATAAAGGTATGGTATCCAAAAACTATAAAGAATTTACCAAACTCAACACCCAAAACACAAATAATCCATTTAAGAAATAGGCAGATGTTATCGATTATTTTGAGATGACTGAGAAACAGTAGACACAAAAAAAGCTCTGAAAAGAGTAAAAGTTACTTTTTTGAAAGGGAAATTTACATTTACAAAGGATGTCTCCTTCTCTGTAGTGGGAAGAGAAGTATGACTCTATATCACAAGAGATTCAGTGGTATCCAGAGTATCACTGGTTAAGTCGAGGATTTAAATATGCATAAAAACTGTACCCTTGTTTATGGTGAATTCCCTCCTTATCCATATGCCCCTTCCCCATAATGAGTGTCCTTACACCTTTCTTTCTTTTGTCTTTAGCTGAAGATGGTATTTAAACTGGTAGCTTAGGTTTAGTATTCAAAATATAAAAAGAAATTATAGAACTCAACACCTCAAAAACAAAAATCCAATTTTAAAAATGGGGAGAAGACATAGCAGACATTTATCCAAGGAAGACATCCAGATGGCCAACAGACATATAAAAGATGCTCAACATAACTCATCATCAGAAAATGCAAATCAAAACTACAATGAGATATCATCTCACACCTGTCAGAATGACTGAAGTCAAAAACACAAGAAACAAGTGTTGGAGAGGATATGGAGAAATAGGGACACTCCTGCACTGTTGGTGGGAGTATAAACTGGTACAGCCAGTAAGGAAAACAGTATGAAAGTGCCTCAAAAGTTTAAAAATAGAACTACCCTATGATCCAGTAATTACACTATTGGGTATTTACCCAAAATATACAAAAATACACAAATTCAAAGGGATGCATCCCTATGTTATTTGCAACATTATTTACAATACCAAATTATGGAAACAGCCCAAGTGTGCATGTATGGATGAATAGATACATAAGAGGTGG